GTCTAACTAGAGTACACACCTCTTAGCGCTGACGAGAGGATCAGAGAAAAAGTTTGTGAGGTAGACACACGCCCAGCTCTCCAAGGTATCAGCTGGTGGTAATACAGCTGGGAAGGGGTGTTCCTCTCCAAGATCAAACTCAATGTCATAAACTAAGCGCCAATGAACTACATTCCGACTTGAAAATCACCTGAAATCATCAGGTCCTGCACAGAAGAGGAACTCAGGGCCTAGCCCCTGCTCAATCCTCTCTCTCCCGCCAGATGCTAAGTTCTTTGTCTATGTCCCAGCATTTACCTGGCGAGAAGCATATGGCCGACGGCAATAAATCTGCTGCACTGAGCTGAATTAGTTCAATATTTGTAAGTACATTTCATCTTTGCTACCAGATTATAAGCTCCTCAAGAGTGAGGATCATGTCTTGCTCTGGGAAAGATTTATTAAATGAGTGATGGAAAAAATACCAAATCAAGAGTCAGGTTTCTTAGACCCAGCCCGGTCCCTTAGGAGCTGTGCAACCGCAGAAAAGTCACCTAGCTCTCTGTGCCTTATTCTTCCCACCTCCAGGATGAGAAGTCTGGGCCACGTGTTTGCCGAGGTCCCTCAATCCCTGAAACGGGAGCCGGGTCTTAGCTGCAACATGACACGTGCCTATGACAGCCACACACGCCCTGCCCTGGCTCAGCAGGCCAGCCTGCTAACGGACTCCCTCGATCTGCAAATATTCCGACACCAGGCTATGAGTAATGGGGCCAATGCTTACAACACCTGTTTGGGGGGTCAAATCAATCGCTCTGCCAAGTGAGGACGGCCCATCACTCCAGCTAGTGGTCTGGGACCTGGGGGCACAGTCTGCCCACCATCCTGTCACTCCCGTGCCAGACTCTCCCACAGCCCTTTCCTCCTGCTTAGACAACACGAGGGACCAGAGATAACCTGGTGGCCAGGGAAAGTTGAATTTGGCTCTTGGCAGTGAGGTGATCATATGACACCTCTCTCCAAAATGTTTTGTGTGGTTGTTTTTTTTGGGGTTTTTTTTTTTTTTTTTTTTTTTTGGTATTTCTTGTCAATATTTTGTGCTGCCCAAAGGTCTAGGGAGTTTGGCTCAAAGGAAATGCATGCCGTGTTTCAACACGGGGACTCACTCGGCAGCGTGGCCAAAATTGTAGCAAAACAAGAATTCGGCAATAAACAAAGCCTAAATTCAAGGCTTTGGAAATAATTCCAGAGCCTACTGAAATATGGCTACCGTGGCTTCTACGGGCACCCTTCCCTAGCATTCCTTAATTAACCTAAAAAGTTGATTATTTCTTTTCTCTCTCTCTCTCTCTGAATGATATAAGGCTTTCCAGAGCATCATACCTTTCTGACGGTCTTAAAATCTAAATGGAAGTCTAAGTAAAAATGAGGGGGAAGAGGGAGAACTTGCTAAAAGAAGCAACTGACACCGGCTTTTGTCCCCATTTGAGGCTTTCTAGAGATAATTTTACTCGATTCTCACAATAAGCGCATGAACTTAATACCATTATTTGCCCATTTTACCAATGAGAAAACTGAGATTTCAAACGGCTATATAGCTTGCACAAAGTCACAAGGCTAGCAAGGGTGTGGATGCAAGCCAGGGCTCTGAACCCTTCTCTGAGAGCACCTCATTGCTGGGCTTGTCAACTTCCGGAAGAAGCCACTTTGAGGCCCTGTCTGGTGGACAGGCTCAGGCAGTGGCCTCAAGACCACATTTGGGATCGAAAAGAGGAAGATGCCCGGACCATGCAAAGGGCTGGACTAGCTGATCCGGTTTCCTGATTCTGCAACACTTTTTGGAACTGCCTTCCACAGGAGATGATGCTGTGTGGTGTTCTGTTTGATACGGAAGGCCCTCCAGACATGCAATTAAAAGCCACAACATTCTTGTTTTTAAACCCTTCTCTGTCTCAGGAGTACTGATTGCACAGCATCTCCTGCCGCCTGACACCCAACACCCGACTCTAGCCACTGGCATTGGCAAAGCCGCTTAAAACCACCCCACTTCAGGAGAAGTGCTCTAAAAGGCAAGGCTACAGCCCTCACCTGCGTGGCTCAGTGAATAGAGCGTTGGCCTGAGGACTGTAGGGTCCCGGGTTCGATTCCGGTCAGGGGTATGTACCTTGGTTGTGGCCACATCCCCAGCAGGAGGTGTGCAAGAGGCAGCTGATACTTCTCTCTCATCCACGTCTTTAACTCTCTCTCTCTGTAAAAAATCAATAAAATATACTTTCTAAAAAAAATTTTTTTAAAGGCAAGGCTACAAATGAAAACAAATCACTGCAGAATTCTCCCTGAAGATTGAAAAGGCAGAACTGAGACAGTGCTTGTCAAGTCTCCTCCATGGCACCTTACAAGTAAAATGTAGCTGTTTAGTGCATCCTGGGAGCCAGAAGAAAAATGCCAGTTTAAATGAAAATTTCTTGCTCCTCTTGACAGATTCTGAGTCACCAAGCGCTGTATGACAAGAACAACTCATTGACCAAATTGTTTTTTATGTTTGTTTTATTTTCTGTTAAGCCAAGCACTGGGAATTTTCCACCTGACAATTCCTGCTTCTCACTGAAGTTCTTACACCGTCTGTGAACAGGGTGCTGGGGGAGGGAAAGGGGAGAGGCGGGGGACTCAAGGCCAAGGAGGCCTCCCATTCATCCCACCTCACCCACTAGTTTTAACACCTATTTAATGCCCTATTCACCATATGCTTTTGCTACCCTTGCAAGCACATCTATCCAGTTGAAAGCAGTTTGGAGATTGCCAGTTTCTGGGTCTGGGTCTGCTACCAGATTCAAGATCTCTACATTCCTTTTTGAGTAAAACAAGATTTTGAGCTAAAATAAACAGCACAATGGGAAACTGAACTGGGGCTGGACAATAACATCAGGACTGAAGTCCTGCCGCTGAGAAATGAGTCTCTGCCGTTCTCAGGGCGCCCCCTAGTGGGCATTCAGTTAAATCCAGACGGAATGCTGTTTCACCCACGGAAAGGCAAGGGCAGACTCCCCTCTCCTGATGCAATATCCCTTCAACTCTTACTTACTCTGTGGATCCGACAGCCAGACGAGTGCCTGACAGGAAACTCCAGTGGAACTCAGAGAGGTACCTGCCACAACACAAGGTTTCATTCATCCTTTCCGTGTGCGGCAGCTCCCCAGCATTCAGGCTTCTGTGCCACCTCACAGATCCTTCCCCCCACCCCCCCAGACACACCCTTCCCACTCAACCCCTCACATACTTCCTCAACCTGCAGCCCCAACCGCGTCTGCTTTTCATTATCCCACTTTCCAACTCCCCAGCGCGATTCTTCATCAGCTACTAGGACAACACGAGCAAGGAGCTAAGCTTGGTTTTTGCTTATTCAACCTCCAGCCTGGAGAATATCTACCTCCGAAGAAAAGCATGAATGAAATGCGCGTTGCCCAGCCTCTCCTGCCGCAGACCTGGAAAGGTGTTTGTTCCTCCCAGGGCACCGGTTACAAACACGTCCTATTTACATGTGTCAGCCTTCAAACATGGCACCTGCCCGGAGTGCCTTCTCCACGACTTTTGCTTGCTTAGAGGATGTTTAAAAGTGGAGACAGCTTCAAATACATAATGGACAAAGTCTCACATTTCCAATTAACCTACAACATACTTTTTTTTTTCAAGCTATAGGATAAAGTTCTATCAACCCAAACAGTGACGCTTAGAAGGAGGGAGTTATCCAGGAATCCAAATCTTTGAGAAAGGGAGGGGGGGGAGGGGCTGAACTTTCTGATTGGTGCCCCTCTTTTTTTTATTTTCACAGAACAATCTCTGCACAGATGCAAGAGAAAAATGCCAACATCAACCTACCAATTCATTCACCGATTCATTTTGCTACCTCCCTTCCTCTCCCCCCCCCCATTCCCCACCCTCATTTGTTAAGTTTATAACCCACCCTGGGCCATAAAACACCCCGAAATGTGCACACAAGGAGTCTCAAAATTAGTCTGGGGCTACATCGGTGAAAATGCATCAGCTGTGCTTCAAATGAAAGAACCCTGCCCCTTTTCTGCCGCACACCACGCACAATCTTTCTGCAACCGTCAGTCCCTTTGAACCCAATCCTCCAGCCACGAGCCGAGTGGATTCCTGGGCCTGGTCTGCAGAGAGGAAAATGACAACACACCATGCTAGCGACCATCTAGAGACCCCAAGGCGCTCAAGGAGCTCTTGGGAGCTTGTGCCTAGGACGCGGGGCGCTGGCAGGGTTCCAGCTGTCACCCAGAGGGGCGGCTGGGCCAGACTCCTCAAGCAATTGAGTAGCCCTGCAGCCAGCCGGGACCCCAAGTGTAATCGCGTTGGCTGCTGCGACTCGGCATCTGTGTGGCTGCTCAAGCCCTGGGCGCCTCAGTCCTCCTCCCAGAAGCCTGGCCGAGCTGTCACAGCCCTCATGCCTGCAGCAGCCTTTGCTTTTTGGCTCCCTAACCTTCTCTCTGCAAAACAGGCAGGAGTGCACCCTCCCTTTGCAGGGACAGCGGCATCAAGGTGATAGAGGGGATGCGTGGAAGGGTGGGAGGAGGGAGGGGGGGGTCGCATTCATCTGCAGGACACAGGGATGTGGGAGGGGGACCAGCTCCGAGCTGAGAGCTCGGAACTGGATTGGAGATGGAGCCATAAGGCATTCTCCAGGACATGGTCTGAGCGCGCGCCCCGAAGAGGGGAGACCCCGACCGGCGGGTCCCAACCTTTGCAAAAGTGTTTGCAAATCGTAAACACTACTTTGCTGTTGGGATCAAACCCCCCGAAATATGCGTAGACGGGATGTAACAAGTGTTTCAGGAGAGAAACACGCCTGAGTCACGGGGAGCTGGGGGGGGGGGGGGAATGGAGCTGTCTGGGGGTTCCCGGAAAGCCCCCTCTCAGACCAGAGAGGCTCAGCACCCAGAGCCACCGCCGCTGGCGCCCTCCGTCCCCAGTGCCCCCCCCCCAACCCCCAGGGGGGTTCCTGCACTCACCACTCGGCCCGAGAACCGCTCGGTGGCCCTCTTGACTTTGCCGTAGGTGCCTTTGCCCAGCGTCTCCTGCAGCTCGTAGCGGTGCTTCAAGTTGTGCTTGTGGTGATGCCGCTTCACCCCGTGCGGCTTCCTGGGCTCCGGAGCGGCCGCCGCGGGGGCTGCGGGGGCCGCGGGGGCTCCGGGGGCCGCGGTCGCCCCCGCCCCCGCCTCCGGGGGAGAACCCGGCGCCCCGGACCCCAAATCGGGGCCGTCCCGGGCCGCGGGCGCAGCGGCCCCCTCCATGTCCAAACTCCGCCGCCGGGACGAGTGGATGGATGGACACCGGGCAGGACCCGGCACGGCAGCACTGTCCCCGCCGAGGGAAGTCGGGGTGCAATCAACGCCGCCCGCGCGGCATGGACGAGGGAGGCGGCGGGATCCAGCGGGGCAGCGGCGGGGTCACGGGCGGCGGAGGGGACCGCACATCGGGCGCCCCGGTCCGCGCACCGCCCCCGGCCGCGCGCACTGAGAGCGGCGGGCGAGGCGGCGGCGGCGGCAGCGGAGGCGGCGGGGTTTGCAGGCGGGAGGGGAGGGGAGGGGAGAGAAAGGGGGTGGCTCCGGGCGCAGGAGAGGAGTGTTATGTGGGCGCCGCGCCCCCCGAGCCCTCCCCTCCCCGGGGGGACGGGCAGACGGGCGGGGGCGGGGCGGGGCGGCGCGTCGGCGGGTCCCGGGGGGCGGGGGGTGGGGGAGAAGGAGAGGCGAGAGGCGGGGCGGCCGGGGCTTCCCCACCTCCCTGCTTCGCCGCCGCCCCCGGCCCGGCCACCCCGATCTGCGATCTGGAGGGGGAGGGGAGCGGGCGGCCACTCGCCCTTCTTTGTGCCGCGCGGGCGGCGCAGGCCGCGGCAGGGGCCGGGGGCTTTGTCCTCGCTGGGCCGGGCTGGGGGCCGGGGGACGGAGGGATCCAAGCTGGGGCGCCCCCTCCCCGGACTCGCTCGCCGCAGCTACCGCGGGCCCCGGCCCTCCGCCGCCGCCTGCAGCTCCGGCCTCCGGGCCTCCCTCCGGGCCCGCGCCCCGGTGGCGGCCGCCGCTCGCCGAGCCCGGGGCCCGAGCCGCCGCCGATCGCGCCCCGCGCCGGGGGCCGCCGGGGCCCGCTCGCGATCCGGCCGGGGGCGCCGCGGGCCCGGGCGCCCCCTCATTCTCTTCGGTGTCGCGGCGGCCGCCCCGCCGGCCGGAGCTGGGGAGCGGCGGGGGGAGGGGAGGGGAGGGGAGCGGCGGGTGTTGGGTTTCGGGCGGTGAGTCACGGCCCCCTCCCGCCGCGTGCGCACCCCCCCTCCCGCCCCGGGGGCCCGGGGATGGCTGGCCGGCCGCCGGGGGATGGGGCGCGCGACCCCGAGAACCCCAAAAGGAGCGCTTGGATCCCGGGCCTTCCCTCCCTCCCCGAAGATCGGAGGAAGGCAGTCTCGGAGGCGGAACCTGGGGCCTCCCGTCACCATCCAGGCCCTGGAGAGGAGGAGAGCTGGGGACGTGGAAGGGACCGTGCAGAGCTGGGCGCCCACCCTGCCCGCCGAGGCCTCCCTCGAAGGTGGGCGAGCCTGGGACCTCGCATGGAGCAGGGCCCGCGGCCTGCAGAGCGGGAGCCCACTGGCCGGCCTCTAGGCCCCTCCGGCCTCGGAATTTATCCTGAAACTGGAAGGACCAGATCCCGGAGGTGGGAACAGCGACCTCACACCCCAAGCTGGGAGTCCGGCAGGGAGGGAAGGCCTCCGACCGCAGCCACGCCAGCCGCAGCCTCCTCCAGCCCCCTTCTTAAAGGGGCAAAGGAAAAGAGAGAAAGAGGCCTCGGGGACATGTTTAAAATGGTGCAAGCTGCACACCAGACTGGGGATAGGAAGGGTGAGGCAGGAGGAATGTCTGGTGCGACCTGCAGCTCGTAGGGTGGTTCTGTACTTTTTGTTTTTTTTTTTCACCCCGTGAGCTCGGACCCTCCTGGGCAGCTCTCAGGTTCATTCCTCCTGCATTCCTGCTGTCTTCACACCCGTCCACCTGCTATCGCCTTAGCCTGGACTCCTGCGATAGCATGTCCTCTCCGAGAGCCCCTTCCCTGCTGCCAGAGTCAAGGCCTAAAACAAGGCAGGCCGCCCATCCTCCAGGCCTGCCCCTCTGCCACCTCCAGTGCTTGGTATTATCTGTCCACGCTTCTCCTCCAGTGCGGCTCCCCATGACCCCTCTGTTCCTTCCTGCCTTCCCCGGGAGCACGCTGGTTATTGCATAAGACAAACACAAAGGCCATGTTTACTTCATCTTACTTCATCCCTATTCTGTCTGCCACTCTTGCAGCGCCTCCCCGTCCCCATCCTGAGACTGTGTTCTGCTTTCAGACCAAGTCTGTAGACAGCGGGCATGTAGAATAAAGTGTCAGCATGAGTAACGGGAAGGGTTGAGCCAGGATCCCCAGGGACTAGGACCTTGGGACCTTGGCCAAATGACTTCACCTCTCCAGGCCTCAGTTTCCTCTTCAAATATGGATTACCACCTGTTTGACGGGTATACAGACTATGTCTGCTGTGGTCATTGAAACTGTTCCCCAGCTCTCTTCTGGTTCTTTCCCCTCCTGGGGATGTGGTAGGAATCCACTACCCCAATCTCTTGAAATGAGACGTGGGCCCATATGCCTTGCTTTTAGGGCAATGGAACAAGAGCACTGTTTTCGTGTAGAAACTTTTCAGATCCAATGGGCAAGTCCTCCTGTCTTTTGACAATTCTGAAAGTACGATCTTGGCGATCCTATCTTGACAGCGGTGGGAGTACCGAGATAGAGCCTCCCCCGGCCAGCCTGGGTCTCTGTAAAGATGGCAAAGCAGTCCCAGGGAACCTGTGTTGGGAAAGTAGTGTGAGTGGGATTTCTGGAGCTAAGGGGGTGTTACAGCAGCATAACCCAGCTCATTCTAGCTAATAGTTTGCTCACAAGTGCCTGGGACATCATCCGTATTTGTTGAGTGACTAGCTCCTATCATGGGCTAGAGCTCCTAGCATTTCAGGACAGTAAGCCCTTCAGGGTGGTTGCTGTAAATCGGTATTTTCCATTGAGGAAACCACATCAGAACACTTAAGCCATTTGCCTGAGATTTCACAGGTTGTAAAAACCCTACCTGTCCAGTCCCAAGCCTTGTGCTCTTCCTCTTCCACGGATGCTGTGCTGCGTCCCCTTATGGGCAGGATGGAAACCCCCAGTACAATGCCTGGCACACAGTCCTACCCGAGCACTGGGAGTTCCTCTCCAGACTGAATTCCTACAGCATTTATAATTGGAACCACACTTCAGCACAATGTTATCACGCATCGTATTCCGTGTTTTCCACAGATAAAGCTTTTCCTCCCACCAGACGCCTGGATTTAGATAGAGCTTGCATTCTGGAGTCAGACTGCCTGGGTTCAAATCCCTGTTCCCCCACCCGCCATTGACAGTCTTGGGCAACTCTGTGCCCTCTCTGTGCCTCGGTTCTCTCATCTGCAAAATGGTGATGGTAATAACATAGGTGATATTGGTAGCAGTAAAAATAATATGTCCCGTGGGGTTGGTGTGGGGATAAAAGGGTATACTATATACATTCAATAAATCATGGCTATTAATAGACTTACTTTTCATCTTCTGTGAACTCCTATTAGAATGCAGACAATTCCAAGCAGTTTAATCCTACTGCTTGTATAGACTGATTTCTGGGATCATCCCGGATACAGGATAGTTGTTGTAACATCTATAGTTGGAAGTATTACATCCATACGGTTCTATAACTTAGATCTCATAAGATTCATTGCTTTTTTTTTTTTATTACATTTCCTTTCCAAACCACTTAAAAGGAAGAAGGTATGTGTGCTTTCTTGAGACTTCTTTGTTTAGAAAACGGTAATACCAATTATCATGTATCTAATATCTTCCAGGACCTTTATAGTATTACTTCTAATCACCATAAAACTGCCATATGGGTGTTATGATCCCCATTTGGCTGTTGAGGACATTGAGTCTCAAAGTGAAGTTAAATAGCTTGTGATCAGACAGCTGGTAACTAGCTGAATCAGGGTTTGAACCCAAGTCTCTGACCAAGATTTTGCCCAGGCCCCTAACCCAAGCTGCCTGACATCCCAGCTCACATCAGTGAGTAGCTGTGCTTTGGTTGACACTAGTCTTCCGACTTTCTAGATGAGGTTTTGGAAAGTTACCGAAGATTGTGACATTTCCAACCTCATTATGTTATCTGGTAGACTTCTTGCATTAAAGAGCAATCTAAGAAGCTGCTCCTTCTTTACAGAGGCAGAGATTACTAGCTGCCCACCAAAAATTCATAGGGGAGTTGATGAACTGCTGCTCAGCTGAGGCTATATTTCCCAGCCTCCCTTGCATCCACACATGGTCACGTGACTAGTTCTTTCTAATGGAACATGAGCAAAAATAATGGCCAGGATGTTTAAAACTGGGTGTGCCTTCCCCACTTTACCTTGCTGGAAGCAAAGGATTCCAAGGCTCCAGTAGATGGTGGACTCACTAGAGAAAAGGAGCCTGGGTCCCTGCATCACCTTGAGGAATGAAGCCACCCTCTGATCAGGACATTGGGCTGGAACATGAGTAGGAAATAAACTTGTATTCTGCTAAGCCCCAGACATTAGAGGGTGTTCTTGTTATAGCAGCAAGTACTGCCCTCACTAATACATACAGCTTATACTAAGTCATATTTACACATAAAAGCAACATTGAAGATTATAACAACTATTTGAATAGGTGAAACCAAAAATGCCATTTTTTTTTTAATTTCCTGTCTACTTACTTATATAAGGGGAAAGCAGAGTCTATGGAGTCAGTTTTTCCTTTAATTTTTTCTCCTCAGTTATATGTATCAGAGGTGTGTAAAGTGGTCATAAGACAGTAAACAATAAATTTACTCATTTAACTATATGTCTTATTTTCTGACCGCATGCCAGGTATCTGGGGCTGAGGGTGTCCTGGGACAACACGGAAATGGTCTCATCTTCGTGAAGCTCCCAGCTTCAACACAATTAACAGCAGTCATCTGACCTCTGGCCACCAGACTTCTTGGGAGCACTGAGGCTATTTGAATGTGAAATAGATACCTAAAATAAAAACTAAAATTTACTCACAAAACAGAAAGCTATACTGCCCAGCTGGTGTGGCTCAGTAGTTGAGTGTCAACCTATGAACTAGAAGATCATGGTTCAATTCCCCATCAGGGCACATGCTGGGTTGCAAGCTTGATCCTCAGTGTGGGGCTTGCAAGAGGTGGTCAATCAAT